GGGGGGGGGATAATGGGGATGGGAGGTATGTTTGTGTGTTGTCAAAATGTAGGTGGAACTATAACCATGAGAGAGAATTTGACCACATTTTTGCTTGTTTAAACAAAGACATTTTATTGTGCCAGATAATGCGGGTGGGAATTGTATGGGGGTGGAATATCTATATTATGTGGTGGAGAATCTGACCATATTTCATTTCTGCTGTACAACAGTCATAACTGAGAGGTTACTTTTCTGTTCAATTTTTATTTTGTCTGTATTCATATGATGACAATTGTTCCCAGTAATGTTGCAGAAAAGTATGAACATAACAAATGTTGTTAGAAGCTCCCATCTTTAAAATCAAGAGATCTAGGGAGTAAATCCCTTGTTGGCATCATAAAGGTGTATAAAGCAAATTGTAATAAATGTATTTCTTTCTTTCTTATGTAAATAAATCTCTGCTAAATAAGATGAATGAAAATTCAATTTGAGTCAGAAAATTGTTGAACAAATTGGAACTCTTCTTTGTTGGAGGTACAACATAGAGTGCTCATTGGCACTCTCTTCCTTAATAGCAGGGGTTCGCTATGGAACTGATACCAGTTATTGGAGGGTTCACTTTGGAGGTAGCAGTATTTCAATTGTCTGAGTGCAGCAGATGGTATCAGAGGTGCTTTATTGCGAATTTGATAAAGATGGGAGCTGTTAAATAAAAATAAACCTGGAAAGGTCAGACAGGCAGAAATGAGATAAGATACAAGCCTGTCAGTGATACTGAATAATTTATACCTGCCCCCTGATAATACTTACGGCTTTTACATCGGAATCCAAATACCACAGCAACATTTCATCAAATTATCTGCACACTTTTTTCAAAACTACTAGAAACACACCTTGGTTGGCACTCTTCATCTTAGAGCCATTTTCAGTAAATAACATGTTAGAAATAATTGATATCTATCAAATACTTCGCTATTAATCCAAAATAATGCATTTATCGGTGTTATCTCATTCTTGCCAGTAACTGTAATAAATTTCTGTTCAATCTCTAAATAGATAAGGTATTTCCCTTTGTTTTTCTACCTAAATCTTACAATAGCATGTTCATACATGAATTTGGAAAATATCACATTATACAAATTGGGAAGATGTTCCAATATTTCTCTTTATCTTGGGAAAATCAAACAATTCTTTGTTTCCAGGAAGCAGTCTGTATTCGGCTGTAAAATAAGTCCAAAACATTTTTCTTTTTAGGAGATTTTTTTTTTTTTTTTTTTTTAAATATATTTTACAAAATTCATTTTTTAACAAGATTTCAATTATGAAAACAATTTGCACATGAGTTTGTGATGTTGGTTTTTTTAAATATAAAAACAAGATTTATAGGAGATGAAACCTGATATTTATATGTATAATGTACCATAACGATAAAAACAAATATCATCAAATTAAATCTAATGTTTATGTCTAGAACAAAATCCTTTCGATCCTGACAATCCTTTCTCCTCAAATCTTACGACAATGACTTTACAAAACAATTCTGTAACATTCAAAACCTATCCATAAGAAAAGCTCATTTTCACCATAAACCATGTTTGCCACATACGTAAGAAAACCTCAGAGGAATAAAACACGATGAAACCCCAGTTTCTCCACAGTATGTTACCATGGTAACAAATGACTAGCCTTGACGACAATTTGTTTCAGCAAGATGATGACTGTTTTAGGATGAGCTATGATACCCAGTATCTATGATAATGAGAAACTACAACTAGAAATTAGATTTGGGAAAAGAATGGAAAAAGACCTGAAATCATTAATCAAAATTTTAAGCAAACAGAACCGAGATTATCAACCAACGAAGCAATATCTCCTAAGAAACCCAAACCATAAATCAAATCTCAATACTATCTCTGTCAGCTTTTGTTGAAAACAGACTGTCAAATAATCTGAAGATCTGAAATGAAATATAGCATTGAAAACATATTGAAAGTGATTTAAGATTTCCAGTAATTGTCTGCAACAAAAATGTCAGAATCAACCACATTTCCCCCCCAGATCACTTGAAAAATAGACAAAACTTATGTACAGTTATACAATTTTAACTCATTCACTCCTGAAGACACATTTGAACTCTTCCAATTCTAAGTTAGGAATAGTTCATCATGAAATTTCAGGGGTGAATTTGTGTTGGAGTTATCTCCCTTAAAAATGTTCCCTTCATCCATAACTGTAAATGCAAATAGTTTGCATTAAGTCTCCACAAAAAAATCTAATAGTGTGTGAATTATTTCTTGGGATTTTATGTGCATAATTGAAATAAAGTTAAATATGTCCTTGGAAATAGTACGGAAAAGTAGTCATGAATTATTAGCAAAATCTAATCAGTTATCGAAAATTCCATGCATGCATTTGTATACGTTTCAGATATATTCTTAATTATTACGGTAAGGTCGATATTTTCATGAGTTTACATTTTGGGGTTTTCATTGACATATTGAGAACAAATTTTATCCCTTGAAAATAACCTTATGGTAGGTCGCTTCATTTCCAATGCAAGATGTTGCACAAACAATCATTCCCACAAAGTATCTTAGTTTTGCTAATCTATTCTGAGTACATTTAAGCCCTTAAAAAAGAAGTACTCTTAACTCATTCACCTCTACACATTTAAACTGGACTTATTGCCAAATCTTTGATACTGTAAAATCACAAATTTTCGTGGGACATTAAATTTCGTTTATATCGTGGATAACAAAAATCTACGAAATAAAATCCCCGCCCCCCCCAAAAAAAATTGGTATGATATAGATAGGGGAAAATCAGAACTCAGTGAAATATAATGTCCTTGAAACAGGCTAGTATATGAAATCCACGAAATTTTAACCCCACAAAAATAAATGATTCTACAGTATGGTCAGTATGGTAAGGTTTAAAAGTGACTTCAGGGGTGAATGGGTTAATAGTTTTGTAGAGAATCGGAACTCTTTAGAAAGGAAAGCATTTTACAAAAGGTACATATACCCTTAACCCTTTCACCCCTATGTAACTTTAGTAGACTCTACCATGCATTGATATGGACGAGTCCATTATGGTCTACAGTGGTGAAAGGGTTAAAAGACGGCTGAATTTTGTTTTTTGTATACTTTCCTATCTTTTCTATACGAGCAATCATAAATACAATTGTTTGGTGAAATGAAGCTGAATCAATTTGACAAATAATTAGATAATTTATCAAACATTTCAAAAGTGACTAAATTGACAAAATGTCTGTTCCCTATATTGCCCTTGGAACATTCCAGGGACACAAGATCAATCAGACAGAAATTAAGTAGATAATTTTGTCAGTTTCATTGAGATGAATTGCATTTTTAAAGAAAGAAAATTTCAGAATGATTATCAATAATGTGCTGAGATGACTATGGATATGAAAGTGATGCGTTTTTCCACGGCAAAATTACTTTAATTGAAATATCAAACAATTCATCTTTTGTTTGCTAGCATAGAGATGAAGATTGCAGTTCAAGGACAGAAAATTTTAACAAGTGGCAATAAAGCATCGTTAACAATATGATGGACATGTCTTTAATTATAGAAGAGTTTCAACAGGTTCTAATTATATCAGATTCTGACATTTTGTTACTGAACACCTCCACATTTTCAGGGAGATGGCGTTCGTAACACTTCAATTTCCAATCAAATTAAAATGCCCACATAGCTGTGAGAAGTCCAAGTATCTAAGCAACTGGAGGGATTACTTTCAAATCAATGAAGTAAAGAGTAACAGCTGAGTCATCTAAGCTCTGCAGGCTTAACACAGACGCATGGCCCAAACGGCCTGTATCACTCAACGCTATACAAATGCATGGCCCAATAGGCCTGTATCGCTCAATGCTATATAATTCATGGTCCAATAGGAATGTTTCACTAAATTGGATATTAATCACATGGCCCAAACGGCCTGTATCACTCAATGCAAAACAACTCCAAGGCTCAAAAGGCCTGTATCACTAGATGGTTATTAAATACCTGGCCCAAAAGGCATTTATTACTCAACAGAATTACAATATTCATTTATTGCTCAATGCTTAATTACTAACCCATTCCTGAAAAGGCCAGTATTGCTCAATGATATACAAGCTGTTGGGCCAATAGGCCTGTATTTCTTCGTACTGTATACAAATTTATCATAATACATAGCCCACTCAATAATATACAAAATACAAATTTATCATAATACATAGCCCACTCAATAATATACAAAATACAAATTTATCATTATATATAGCCCACTCAATAAGGAACATTTGTTCAAAACCACATCCATGAATTTCATATTGTAGACAATGGCTTTAGATTGTATTCCCTCATAACAATAAAATCTGTGTAAAGCCATCTAGAGAAGTTATATTAAAATTGTTGTACACATTTGAAATCTTACTTCGTTCTGACAGAACACAGATTCTATAAGGACCTGACCTTTGGACATACTCTGAGCCCTTGTGGTTGGCATATTTCAGGGCATTAATATCACAGAAGTGATTTTTCATGCCGAAAATACAAATTTAATTGTAACTTTACCCTTTGACATTCTAAAATTATTGAAATTAGGTACAAAATATTACATTAAGGAAATAGATTTTGAAACACCAATATCATTTTTTTCCCTTTTAACAGTTCGTATCAGCTGAGTTCCATTTTTCATGACAAATGTTAAAATCTAAACTGCAGACGGAATGACAATTTTGCAAATGTCAAAATGTCATTGAAATTTTGATTATTGGTTAATATTTCTTATGTACATTGAAATGTCACCGGAAAACTGGACATTACGAGAAGTGGAAACCAAGGCACAGAAGACAAGTGTGTCGCAAATATAGGATTGACCGATCTCAGAATGAAGAACAGTTGAGTAGAAACGGTTACCTGATTCCGTGACAAGTACTGACAGCCACACTCGACCACTGGTCCTTTCGTACGTAGCCATGGTAAAAACAGTGCTCCACCGTCTGAAACAGAGAACACACAATTCTCAAATGACATAAAATCTATACATAAAAAGAGTAAAGTTGACAGTTTATTCTGGTGAAATTTTTTGTTCAAAATCAGCCGATCTTAGAACGGAAAAGTGAAAAAGAGAAATAAGACAGCTGCTACCACTAAACACTGTAAACTTGTGAGAGTACAGATTAAGGTGTAAATCTTTGTGGGTGTAATTGTAGTTTAACTCATTCATCCCTGAAATTTCACAATGAACTATTCCAACCTTTAATCTGGAAGAGTTCAAATGTGTCTTCAGGGGTGACTGGTGAATTTTATATTTTCATACCATAATAATAATGAATTCATATAAATTTATTTGACAGGAAGTAAAATAAGAATGAAGATAATTTCTAAGATAGGAATGGACGGAGGGGTAATAGGAAAGAAATCGATTGCAAAGTTGCCTTCTTGTTGTACATAATGTAAAGCATTCATCAGAATTTGCAAAAATACAGACAAATATCGCCAGCAGAGCATTTGACCAACATCAGCAGGAAGAAACGCCAATAGAATGCATAAATACCAGGATTGGCCATTTCCCCTGGGTACTTGTAGGCTACCGGCCAACAAACAGGCTCACGATCATCGACAATATGATGGAGGAAAGTGGGGGTCATTTACCACACAGACAAGCAAGTCATGTCCTCTGAGGGAACTTGACATCCAAATCTTGTAAAGGTCACCACTATTAAGTATGACCCCATTGTAAGTCATCCTTTACTGCAGGAAACACTTTGTACCCAGAGTTGTCTCCCTTACACAGATTTTTGTTTTTATTTTTTTGCATTCAATTCACAATTTAGATAGACAGAAAGCTTTTTTCAATTCAGATGGAAACAGATAACTGTTTTCCTGTAATATCCCGTTATAATAATATCCTGGGCTATAATAAATTTGAAAAAAAAATAAAAACTCTTGTTTTTACTTGGGTTCTGATTTGCAACTACAACTATAAGCTACATATACAGGCATTACTGTATACTTCCTGCTTAACAATTAAAGTTTTCAATGTCTCGGGCAATCAGAGGCATACAGCTGCTACCATGAATCCTAAAATTTAAAAGTCAACCTTTCAGTATCAAGTATATCTCTTATGCAACAGTCCCATAAAGTATTATTAAAGTATACCCCATAGAACTCAAGCTATAACTGTAAAATTGTCTCGGCTAATCAGAGCGATAGCCGCTATCTTGAATCCTGAAATTTAAAAGTCGCACAAAAAGTTTTGTTGAAATTGGCTGATCAGTTAAGGAGGAGTTGACAAGTGAAGTCTAGTATACCCAACTAAAACTTCATTGCAGGGTGTAAATAAAAAAATTTTAAACATAAAAATATATTTAACTTTTTTTATACTGATGCAACAAATTGAAAATCATACGATATCATAATCAATGCTAACCAGAAGGAAATAGGGAGATTGTTAGGAGAAATATGGCACCACAAGAAGGACCATAAATAGGGCACAGCTATTGATTGAACTATTGGAGGCAGGATCCTTCTAAACTTTTTCTATAATTGGCTTCAAATTGGCAAAAACTTTCTTTCATTTCCAGGCACCCAATTGTGCCATTGCCGCTTAAATCTCGCAAATTGTCAGCCCTGGTTTGAAAAAAGTGAACAGTACATGAAACGTCTGCAGAACTATAAACGTTTTCCAACAGTTAACATTCCAATTCCCTCCAGAAAAGAACTCAATAAATGATTTCATTGTGATTCTGTTATTCGTTCTTGAATGAGAATTAAATGGCCACATTCTGTATCGAGGAAGAATCTGTTTTGACTTTGTTAAGTGTTCCGGAGACTTGATAGAATATGTTTTGTATCGAAGGGCAGATGTTGAGCTACTGATTATGGTCGCCATATAAGTACAAATGTCTACATTCAGTACATATTGTGGTGTCCTGTCCACCTTTGTAAGGTTTTTTGATCCCCTGACCTACAACAATGATATTAACACTTCCCGTTAGGGAAACATCTTTTTGTCTTTCCCTTTGGGAGACAAGGTGATTCCTTTGACATAGCAATTGTATGATGTCGTGTCAACAATAGCAGATCACGTAAGATACTACTTTGATTTTCCTGGAAAGCCATGCAATCAACCTTTGTATTTCATGCCATCACCACTTTGGGAGTAAGACAAAAAAAATCTCAAATCTCAGGACAATATTATTAAATGACTGGCCTTTGGCAAAGCCTTAATTAGGCTAGACATTTAAGAACCTTACATCTTGGGTTGAGATTTATATGTCTCACCCCCAAGGCCAGAGGAAGTATTTTATAAGACCACATTTGGCAGATATTTGGAGAGCATGTTAAGTCCAGTTTTGATGGAAATTCTGATCTCAATTGCGGTAGAAGAACTGTCCAGAAAAATTGTCCAGAAGAACGGACATGATCAGGATGAAGGTTGAAGAAAATTTTGTTTTGTGTCAGTACTTAAAACACATAGAGTGAACTATTTCAGACAATGTAACAGAAATATTTCCTCTGGAAAAATCTTTATCAGCTATACTGTTGCACCATAAAAGCTTCCTATAGTAAAAATCAATGGCAGACATAGACAATGATAGTCGAGTTATTGCCTGCATAAAATGCTGACCGTACAGCAAGATATCATTTCAAAATGTGCAGAAAAAAAATGTGAATAACCATTAGGCTACCACAAATTTGATATATTGGAGTACAGACAAAATATCAAACTGCCATCGTTTTCAAAAACACTTTGCATTTATCAAGCTATTACATATCATATAAAAAAAATACCAATATCAATAGTTTGGTCAAGTTTAATATTTCTTTAAAAAGTGTTCATTCAAAAAGTGCTTTACACATGACAGAAGGAAAAGAAAAAAACAGGCTTTTCATCTAAGAGATGCCAAAATTAATTCATCAATCCAAACAAGATTCCAAGTATCTGTCATGTCAAAGGGGAGCTGCCAAAACTAATAAACAAGATTCTGCGGATCAAATCATACGGGATTCTATAACAGAGTACGTGTGACAATTTGGCATTGGCTGTGACAGTGTGGCATCCCAAAGTAGACAAAATGGATGTGACGTGCCAAATGCATCTGTGAAATACTGCGTGGCCACGATTCCTGATGGAACAGACCACCGCCAGGCAGATATCGCCAAACATCGACACTGCAGTGATAGACGGTCTTCAGGGAGTCGCTGGAATCAATTTGACAATGCGTCTAGGAGCCTCTACCAGTTGGCATCAACATGCAGCGAGGGCGATATGTCAGTTTTATCTGTGTTTTTCAGGAAAATGAAATGTTTACCAGAATAATGTCAGCCATATATTTGATGAAAGATAGTTCTGCATTCACAGCCAGAACTATACATACATTGAAACACTCCGAATTTATTTACTGTGCATCTGTAATTCCTACCAGTGTTGTATTTGTCTCTAATCCTTTTGAAAGAGATTTTGACCAGCAACAGAAAATTTTGTCATAACCAAGAAAATGTTTGCCATGACAAAATCTGTTTGTGGCTTAAAAGGAAAAAAGAAAAAAAATAGGTAATGTGTACTAAACATCTGTGTGGTGGAATGTTTACTGTCAAACTTATTTATTATCATATCATTATACGATAACACACATCATCTGCAATCTTATTTCCAAGACATAAGAACATTTGGCTTTCATCTTCATAATATTTCAAATTTATACATTTTTTTCTTCATTGTCTCAATTTTCAATAAATTTAAAATATATAATAAAGATTTTACATAATTAGGTACAATTTCTCTTCAGCAGAGTCTTTCATGTTTAACATTAAAGTGCACAAATATTTGTTGCCATAACAATTGATTCCAATCTAAACATAGTTAATCTTAAACTCAAGCAAAACCCCCAAATCCAATCCTTGTCGGACGAGCAGCCAGCTTAGCTAATACATGTATATGGACAAACACATGTGGTATTTTTACCACTCTATATACATGTACAAGAAACAAAATATTACAGAAAATCATACGGACTTAAAATATAAACAGATGGACAGAGACATTGCAGTCTACTGACAGTGCACCAATCCACGTAAACTTATGTTACTGAAGTTTATAAAAGAAATACGTCAGATAATATAAACCAACATACAAAACACAACTTCATTCTTCAAATTCAAGGTTACAAAGTACTGAGGAGCATATACAACCTTAAAAAAGGTCATGCAAGTTATGGACAATCTTTCTAAAACGGAAATGAAAATATACGTTTTAAATTTCGGGTGTCGGGAGAAGATGTGCTGGTTGGTGACAGATTAACATTAGGAAACCATTGTCATTATGAAATCAATATCATGGCGCAATATATAATGCCCCATAAATCGTCTGGCGTCTACATACACAAAGATGGTGCAAGTTTTTAAGGTGGTAGCTATTCATAAATACAATAGGAAAGACTACATGTCCATGTAAAATGTTCATCAGTGTTTCAGTCACGATAATGGTTTCTTGACAATAATCTCTCGACGACCATTATACACAATTCTCAAGACTGCATCAATCTTAATTAACTGATAAAATCAATTTACAAAAAATGAAACATTTTCAACCAAACCATGAAAAATTAGGTCATGTCTTGATTTGCATTTGGCGATATTGAAGAATCCAAAAATGAACTGATTTCCCCACTGCTGCCCTTTCTTTGGACTCTTTTGTTTTCTGTCCTCTTTACAAATACTATTTTATCAGCATTGCTTCCTTAGGAACCTCTTCTCATATATAATGATCATGACCTCTACACAAAGCAAATCACATTTTCAAGAACATAATTTACATTAAGCGTCGATGAAAGTTTCAGTAATTTTAACTATTTGATCTAATGCATTACAATAGATAGACAATTGAAATTTGTGATAAATAATTACGATAAATGATGAATAATTTGAACAATGACATCAAAAGTAATGCTTTCATCACATTCTACTTCTAAAGCATACAGTGATACTGTGGTCG